TGGGGAGCAACTGGGAGCAACTCGGACTAGACTAAGTTACTGGAATTAAGACTTATTCTATGCATCTGCTCTCCCACAATATGGCGCTGGGAGAGGAGACAACAGCTTCTACGCAGCTGCCTCTTGCCAACTTGAGTGATGACCTCCAGGAGCTGATCCTGCTCCTGATTGGAGGAGAGCAGCGTACTCGGCGTGTGGGCAGCCGAGTTGGGATTGGTGGAAGAGGACTATAAAGGAGGAGAGAGACAACATGCACGAGGAACATCTAAGGGAACATCTATCTGAAGGAACACCTGTGCAGCCCCCGAGAGAGCCGGCCGGAGGTGTGCCGCTCCCCTGTGGAAGTGGGGAAAGTGGCTAGGGGGAACCGCCCTTCCACGGAGGTGGAAGGGACGGTAGCCAACCCGGGAAGAACCAGCAGCAAACCCAGGGAGGGCCGAGCAGACAAAAGAACAGCGCAGGGTCCTGTGTCGTTCCTCCATGAAGACAGGGAGCGACATAATGGTGCTGTGACTCAGATAGGAAACTTAGGAGGGAAGAAACGGGAAGAAGTGGAAAATACCGGAGAGAGAGACTAGCAAAGAGCCTAGGGGAAAGCCGGACGGAAAAGGTGCCGGAAGAAGCTATCAAAAGCCTAGGCACAGACTCGGATATGGACTGTGGGAAAGAAGTTAGGATTGAAAGCGAAAGTGAAAGCTTTCATAGACTCGGATGCGGACTATGGCGGGGAAGCTAGGAGATTGAAAGCTAAAGTGAAACCTGGAGGAGGCTTGGACTCGGATGCGGACTGTGGGGAGAAACCGGGAGAAATGAGAGGGGAATATTGTTGTTGGAAGAAAAGTTAGGGAAACATACCGGGTAGAGAAAAATGTTAGGGAGGATGAAGCCGCAAGTGCAGGCCGAGGCGGAGACGTAAGCCAGCTTGGAATTCTTCAAGTCACCCCGGGGAGCAAGAGGCGAAAATCTGGAACCAGAGGCAGAGACGTGGGCCGCCAGGTTGGAATTTGCCAGGTTAGTCCGGGGAACTTGGACTGAATACCGGTGGTGGTGGAAACGTAAGCTACGCTGTGTGATTCGCGGAAGCCACCGCGTGCAGAGAGAGCACGGGGCGTGAATAGATAGGGAACGCGGGGCTGGCGCGAGGCCGTGGTGCGGGCGCGAAGGGCATGGAGACCGCGGAGTGTGCGCGCGAAGCCAAGCTGCGCAGAGCCGGGTGCCCGCTGCAGGGCGGGCGCTGGGAAGCCGCGCAGATGAGAGAAGCGCGGGCTGAAGCGGCGCAGAGCCGGGAAGCCGCCGAGAAGCAGCCTTGGGGCGGGCCCCGGGAAGCCACAGGGATAAGAGAAACAGAAATTTAGAAGTAAAATGAGAGAAATAGGAATGCTGGTAGATAGAAGTAAAATGGGAGAGATAGGAATGCCCGGAGATAGAGAAATAGAGAAAAATAAGGCCTCCCCTCAACATGGCAATGAGAGAGCTTGGAATCGGTCTGCCTGATTAGGGAGGTGGTGAGCACCTGCGGGCGGCTAGCAGCTTATGCGCCGCAGGTCACCGAAGACAGGCACGTTATCAACATCAATAAGTCTCCCCACAATACGGCAATGAGAAGGCTTGGGTTCGGTTTGCCTGATTGGTAGGGCTTGTAAGCACCTGCAGGCAGTTCTAGCAGAGCAGAGCATGCGCTGCAGGGCACCGAACACAGGCACGCATCAGCGCCTAAAAACCTCCTCACAACATGGCGAAGAGCCTAAAAACCTCCTCACTACATGGCGAAGAGAGGACCTGGATTTGGTTTGCCTGATTGATAGGGCTTGTAAGCACCTGTGGGCAACTCTAGCAAGCAGAGCAGAGTGTGTGCCGCAGGTCACCGAAGATAGGCACGAATCAACACCAATAAGTCTCCCCACAATACGGCAATGAGAAGGCTTGGATTCGGTTTGCCTGATTGTTAGGGCTTGTAAGCACCTGCAGGCAGTTCTAGCAGAGCAGAGCATGCGCTGCAGGGCACCGAACACAGGCACGCATCAGCGCCTAAAAACCTCCTCACAACATGGCGAAGAGAGGACCCGGATTCGGTTTGCCTGATTGATAGGGCTTGTAAGCACCTGTGGGCAACTCTAGCAAGCAGAGCAGAGTGTGTGCCGCGGGACACCGAAGACAGGCACGTATCAACGCCAAAAATAAAAAGAAAGGGGGATCTGTGGGGAGCAACTGGGAGCAACTCGGACTAGACTAAGTTACTGGAATTAAGACTTATTCTATGCATCTGCTCTCCCACAATATGGCGCTGGGAGAGGAGGCAACAGCTTCTACGCAGCTGCCTCTTGCCAACTTGAGTGATGACCTCCAGGAGCTGATCCTGCTCCTGATTGGAGGAGAGCAGCATACTCGGCGTGTGGGCAGCCGAGTTGGGATTGGTGGAAGAGGACTATAAAGGAGGAGAGAGACAACATGCACGAGGAACATCTAAGGGAACATCTATCTGAAGGAACACCTGTGCAGCCCCCGAGAGAGCCGGCCGGAGGTGTGCCGCTCCCCCGCGGAAGTGGGGAATGTGGCAGGGGGAACCGCCCTTCCACAGAGGTGGAAGGGACGGTAGCCAACCCGGGAAGAACCAGCAGCAAACCCAGGGAGGGCCGAGCAGACAAAAGAACAGCGCAGGGTCCTGTGTCGTTCCTCCACGAAGACGGGGAGCGATAGTGGATAATTATACTACTCTTATAACAATGCTGATACTTCCTTTTCAATGCTGATACCTCAACTGTTAAAATTTAGTGAGACCTCCAGACAATAGTAATAGCAGACATCACTCTTTTGTTCCTGATATGTATGTGTGATAGACAATTAAGGTGGTTTAATTTACTCTCTGCTCTAAGAGACTTGAGGAAGAAATGTTGATTTCATATAACTTTTCAGCATTATTAAGATGATCATATTTGTTTTCATTTATAGATGACTCACTGAATAATTTGCTTGTTTATTTATTTGAAAGTTAGAGCTCTGGTGGGAGTGGATAAAGGGAGAATATCAGCTGGTTCACTCTCCACATGGCTGCAATGGCCAGGACTGACAGGTTGGAAGCCAGGAACAAGGAGCTTCTTCCAGATCTCCCACGTAGGTAGTAGGTGCCCAAACACTTGGGCATCTTCCACTGTTTTTCTCAGGCCATTAGCAGGGAGCTGGATCAGCATTGTAGGTGGCAGTTTTATCTGCTATACCACAAAGCCAACCCCCATTGAATAATATCAAGTGAATGCCCCAGTTTGACCCACTTTTACATTCCAGCAATAGACTCCACTTACAGTTCTTTTAAGACACTGTTGGATTAAGTTTGCTAATGTTTTGTGTAGATATTTTTATGTAGATTCCTAAGACTGGAGTAGTTTTCTTTGTACTTGTCTAGTTTTGAAATTGAATTATATTAATCTCATAAAATTAACAGAAAGATTTATATGTTTCTTTGCTTTGCAACAATTTATATCATTCAGGAATCATCTGCATTATGAGGGTTGGCTTAAAAATCCAGCAAAAAAAAAAATCAGTCTTTTCTGCTAGGACCATTAATCTAATTGGATTTTCTAGCTCTTATACCAATTTTGATAATTACGCTTTATTGCAAATGTACAGTTTCCCAGACAATTACACATTGCATCTATATTCCCAAATTTATTCACTAAAGATAATTCAGAGTATTCTCCAATTTTTAAACTGTTTATCTGTGTTTTATTTGTCTTTTTTCTAATATTTTCTTTGTTTCTCTTACAATTGCCAGAGATTCTCACTTATTTTATTAACCTTTTTTAAAAAATATAAATAATTGCTGATAATGTAAATGTGTAAAATGAAGAAATTTGAAATGCAGCTAGGACATGAACCAAAACAGTGCCCATATTGGATGCTGGCACGGCAGGTGGCTATTTAATCCGCTGTACCACATTGCTAGCCCACACTTTTCTTCATAACTGATAAAGAAGTATCATTGAAAGTCACTATAAATTTCACATATTTCCTCCATAAAATCAACTTTTTAAAGGTTTAGTGAGGCATATTTGATATAAAAATCTTGATACATTGGACATAAGCATCTTCCTGTCATACCATCACCACAACCAAGGTACTAAACATATCCCTCACCTCTAAAAAATATCCCCCTGTTCCTCTGTAAGGTTAGTCCTCTGATGACTGGTTTTTTTCACTAGAACAATGCCCTTAAAATTCATCCACGTCATTACATATGACAGAATTTCCTGTTTTTTTTTTTTTTTAGGGCTGAATAACATTTCTCTCTCTCTTTCTCTCTCTCTGTGTGTGTATGTGTGACAGAGAAAGAGAGAGATTTTCCTTATCTATTCATCCATATATAAGCATTTAGGTTCTTTTCGTATGTTGATTAATTTGCATAATGTGGCAAAGAATATGGGAATGTAGACATTTCTACCAAGATTAATGAAAAACCACTGTGATTTCAACTGTGGAAGCTATTCACAGGCTACAGTGTTAGAATGGCAGCTTAAACTAGTGGTTAAGATGCCTGCCTTCCATATTGGAGTACCTGGGGTTCAACTCCCAGCTGTGGCCCCTGACAGACGCTTCCTGCTAATGCAGACCATGGGAGGCAGTGGGGAGTGAACCAGCAGATGGGAGCATTGTCTCTCTGCTCTGCAAATTAATTAGTTAATTAATTTTGGGGAAAAAAAAGGCTAAAATACAGAAAAAATTACCTTTGGATGAGGAAGAAAGCATTATGAATAGTTGAAGTGATTAGACTACTTTGTTATATAAAAACTACATTTTTATGTGACAATGTGTATTTTGTGTGGAAAGGTAGAAAATTTGAATAGACTATTACTTCTTTGTAATTCTGAATCAAATAAGCTTGCTGACAGTATTTTTAACTGAATCATAGAAAATGATTTTAGGTACTTAATAACTCATTAAAAAACAAGCTTAAAAAAACAGTGATATTCAGCAAGTAACTATCCCAAAAGTTAAATATTCCTTACTTATAGCCAAGCTGTCGACAGATCACAGTTGCATCCTTATCAGTCCATCCATCATCACAAATTGTTCCCCACTGGCCACTGATAAAAACTTCCACTCGTCCTTCTTTCTTATTTTCTCCATCCACCAGTCTGATAGGAAAACCTAAATCACAATTCAAAAGGATTAGAAAAGTGAAAATAAGTGATACAGACACTAAGGCATGAGAGACTTTACAAAATTCAAATTTTATAAAATCAGTTGAGTGATCAAGAGAGAGGGAGAGAGAGAGAAAGGAGAAGAAGATAGGAGAGCTATCTATAGGAAATTATATCTACTTGTGTAACGTCTTTTGAAGTCTTGAGGTCAAAGTGCTCACCTTGCTGCAGTCTGTAGCCCCAGTTATTGGAACAGTGCCTGGCTTGTAAAGAAATGGCAATCATTTTTGTTGAATGAATGAACGCATGAGTAACTGAATGAATGGCACTATAAAACTGTGAACTATTTTATTACAACTAACTTCTACATAATGAAAGAACATTATCTTAGAGTTGTTTTGTTTTATATATGTTCATTTATCCATGAACATAGCTAAAAACATATATTCCAAAGCTAGGATTTTTAGGAAGCTATAAACAGATACAACCTTGTCCTACTTGGGGAAGTTGAATGGGTTTAATGCCAGAGGAGGAGAAAAAAGTTTTTTTCTTTTAAAGGCAGGTAATAGGAACAATTTCCATCAAAGGGTTTCTATGAACTATTGAGTACAAGGAAAAAAGTAATAAAAATTATCAAGATTTAAAGTGCAGAAGCTTTAGGTGCACTCTAAAGTGTACCTAAACTGTACAAATGAAGTGATTTGTAGAACATCACATGATCTTTATCCACATCAATAAATATGATGTTGTTTAATAGAAGGTGTTCACTGTGACTTGCATTCTGTCAGGAGGAAAAGTGTGAAGTCATTAGGATGGGACCTAATCCAAATGACTCTTGTCCTTATAAAAAGAAGAAGCTTGGACACAGAGATATACGATGTGAAGAGACATGGGGAGAAGACAGCCATCTACAAGCCAAGGAGAAAATCCCGGAGCAGCTCTATCCCACACAGCTAGTTCTCCCTGTTCTTTCTGAAGGACCCTATCCTGCCAATGCCTTGAGTTTGAATTTCCAGCCCCCAGAACTATGAGACAATAAATATCTCTAAACAAATTACCCTATCTGAGGTAATATGTTTTAGCAACCTAAGCAAATTAACACACTGGGAAGGTTTCTAGCTTTAAGGTCTCCAAGATTTACAGGTGAGGATTTAGGGAATACAATGAAGCATGGTGAGATGATCAGAAATACAACAGTGGAAGTAGGCAGCTAAAGAACAAACTGTATGTCTCTAGACCAACCTATGAAATTACTAAATTGACTCTTGTTGAGTAAAAGGAAATACTGCTTGCAGAATGGACACCTCTGCTCTTATTCCTCTGACCCAGTTGTACTTATCCACCCTTCTTTGCTGCTCCTCAGGTTGCTAGTCCCTTAGTTTGCATCTGTGACCATGTTCATTCATGGGTTAAGGCAACATGAGGGGACTTCAAAAAGTTCATGAAAAAATGAAATGAAAAGCTAATTTTGCTGCAAAAGAATTTTTAAATCCATGCATAGTTTCTTTCTTTTTTTTTTTTTTTTTTTTTGACAGGCAGTTAGACAGTGAGTGAGAGAGACAGAGAGAAAGGTCTTCCTTTTCCATTGGTTCAACCCCAAATGGCCGCTACAGCCGGCGCATTGCGGACAGCACGCTGCACCGATCCGAAGCCAGGAGCCAGGTGCTTCCTCCTGGTCTCCCATGTGGGTGCAGGGCCCAAGCACTTGGGCCATCCTCCATTGCCTTCCTGGGTCACAGCAGAGAGCTGGACTGGACGAGGAGCAACCGGGATAGAACCGGCACCCCAACCGGGACTAGAATCTGGGGTGCTGGTGCCTCAGGCAGAGGATTAGCCTAGTGAGCCGTGGCGCCAGCCATAGTTCTTTCATAATATGAATTATCCATGAAGTTTTGTAGACTATTCACATAATAGAATTATATAGTAAAGTCAAAATTAACAAATACTTATTGAGCTACACACTACCAACTAATGTTCTTAAAAAAAAAAAACTTGAAATTTTAACTATGTCATAAAGCACACAAAATTTGAAACTTTGTTTCTTAATAATGTATCTGAAATTCTAGGGTTCTTTGCAAGAGAAGTAAGAGGAAAAGGTGAAGTAAGTGCTCCTCAAAGGCTAACTTCAAACTGATGACATCCTTTTCCTAATTTTTAGATCTTTGATGTGAAGAAAACATTTGCACACTGAATAAGATCTCCATGTTCCATGCCAGTCTTTTATAAGCAAAAGTAAAAATCTTGCAGTATTTTTAAAGTTCAAATTTCATGCTTTGTAAAAGTACTGCTTATGGTGCTTCTGAACTTAATATAACCCAATCATTTTTAGAAAGTCATTGAATTTTCAATTCTTGAGGGGAAATTGGATAACAGACATTCTATCCATACTATCTTGTTACTTAAGTTCTTTTTGTTAGGGTGGTAATAATAATACTCAGTGTGTTTCATTTGTAAAATCTTAAATAAATACAAAATGTTTGGAAAAACTAAACAATTCTACGGGTATAAAGTATCTTTAACTACACATCTCATAATGATTTCCGGTAGTTTACTCTTTTCTGTAACAAAGATATATTATTTAAAAAAATACTTTCTCTTAGACAAAAATCTAGTGCAAATACAAACGAAGTCTAAGTTTATATGGTAAAAGCGTGTGAGAGACAACTTTGCTATGAAGGAAAATTCTGCTAAGACTTAGTACAAACTTTAGAATTAATATAAAATTAAGGTGAAAATAAAGTATTTGCCATCCCAGAATTTTCCTCCAATTCTCACGGGTATTACCTGCATTCTTATGAAGTTTTACTAACTTAGAATACTGATTTTGAGCATTTTACCTACCACACACCCAAATACATGAAGTGTCTACTGAACTATAACTAGTTTGAGAAGAGTTTTGCTCACAGAAGTTACCCTTTAAGTAACTGAAAATAATAGGAGTCACTGTGCACTTGCTCCCCATGTAGGATCTCTGTCCTTAATGTGTTGTACTATGTGAATTAATGGTAAAACCAGCATTCAAACAGTACTTTATACTTTGTGTGTCTCTGTGGGTGCAGTCTGTTGAAATCTTTATTTAGTATATACAAGTTGATCTTCTGTATATAATTAAAAAGGAATCTTAATGAAGAATGGGATGGGAGAGGGAGTAGGAGATGGGATGGTTTGTGGGTGGGAGGGTGGTTATAGGGGAAAAAACCACTATAATCCAAAAGTTGTACTTTCAAAATTTATATTTATTAAAAAATTTAAAAAAAATAATAGTTCAACAGCTTATTATTACAGTGCTAAAGAAGATAAACATCTCCATGTTAAGTGCTGTTGTTTGTATCATTTTTCCATTATCCATTTCTTTAACCTTCTCTTTTAAATATACAGTATTTTTAATAAATTGGAAAGCAATGGTATATTTGAATAAATAAATAGTACCTGATTCTATCCCAAAAAAATATTTGGTTCAGACATAATGTTCTTCAGACAAATGGCTTTAGTTAATAAACACACTCCTGAGATTAGAACCAAGAAATTCATAATAAAGATGATCACATATTTTATTAATTATTATCATCCACAGCTTTTAAAAAATTTTTAAAAAATATTTAAAACTCTATAATTAAAAAGATTTTCTGGTAAACTGAAATGGTTAGCTGTCCTACCCTATAAAGTATTTAACAATCCAGGCCTTAAGAGAACTAAGATCACATAGTCAGTATTTTGTCTCTGGCACTCCTGATGGGGCATGACTGATTAGATAACCCCATGATCTAAACACCTGCTATCTGGGGCTGGGAGAACCCACTTTTTAGCAAATAGGGTCCTATCTACCAATTACATGCAATCATTCATCACACAAACCTGGGAGGCCATAAATCTTCCATAAGAAGGCAGTAGGAGAAAACAAGAACTAATGGAAAGAAAATTGGAAGTAGGTCCCAGAGTATAGGAATGGAGTAAAGAGATGCATTTCTCCTTGGTATAATGCAGTGAGTTACCATGATATCACGGTGTAGCATAAAAAAAGAGTATTTTACAAATAAAGTGTGCAAAATGGTTAATACTGCAGAATTCAACAAGTTTCATTATTTTGTAATAGGAAGATTTCAGCTTCACAGTCTGAAAACAGGATGATAAAATGGGCAGATTCAATCCTGAGGTTAAAAGTAAAGGTCATCTATCTATTTACACACACACACATACACATACACAAACACATGTACTCTAGGTAAACAATAGAGCTCTGATAGTGTTCTGGCCAATCTTTTGAATAATTCCCCTTAATATACTTCATTCATATTTATCCTGCCTTCCTCCCCGTCAGACCTTAAGAATCTGGTAAAAATGGTTAGCCATAAACAGTTCAAGACTGTTAGAGGAGCTGGTCCCCTTTAATCAAACTACAAATCTGAAGAAATTTGTAAAAAGAGAGTAGCAATGGTCCCCGATGGGTCTCTAAGATAATGGCATATCTTAGAAAGATGGGTAAGCTATTAGCTCCAATTGATCCATTTAGAAGCCTACTGAGAACCCTGGAAGAGCAAAGAATGGGTGGCTGGTGACCAATGATTGACAAGGCCTCAGGAGCAGAGAAGAAATGAATCATGAAACAAGGGGAGGAGTGGAATATTCCTTTTCTTTTTCTTTTTTAAAAATCTGTCCCAAATAGCTCATTTGTACTCAAGTTAAATGATCAGAATAGGTGAATAAGGAGTAGAGAAACAGATTACACAGCTTCTTGCTTCTTTCAGATCACACAATTATAAATATTTTTAGTGGGAAATTTAGGTTTCTAAGTAAAGAAAAACAATTTCAGGGCTGGAAATTTCATAATGCTGATAGAAAGATTCAAAGGAATATTTTTCTCTGCATAAGAATGACTGAAACTTAGAAAAGTATGGGAAATTAAAAATCCAAAGAGGAGAAACACTTTACACTTGGGGCCAGTGGCTTAAAGTACAATGGCTACTGAGTTATGAATGTCTAGAGCTGTGGTCGGTTCTCACCCAGAGACAGTCTGTGTCCGTCACTCCCAGGGTAGCAGGCGACAGCCACATCTTCCCGGTGGCTGCAGTCATGCCTTCCCCACTGTCTCCTAGAACACTGAAGGAAACTGGTTTCCTTTCCTGAGCAGCTGACATCATCCAACCAAATGGGCCCTGCACTTTCTTCAAAATGGTTTGCAGAAGCCTGTTTGCCATACCTGTGATAATAAAATAAACCATGTTACAATGAACCACAAAACATAAACAACCTAATTGCTGTGACTTCAGAGAGTATTTCTTTGATCTTTCTCCTACCTTGAGAACACAGCTGTGTTTGCCGAAGTCACAGGATTCGAACATCTGAACAACTTTTGGTTGTTTCAATGAGTAACTATTGAGTAATAATCCTATTTTCAGATTCATTCTTGTTTTTTGGTGTTCAATTTAAACTACCAAACAGAGAGACTGCAAAGGGATATATCTCAAATTCCTGACAACAGGATTAACACTGTGAACCACACAGCGAGAGCACATTCGTCATTTGGTTTTCTGATGAACACTGGGAGCCCTCTGACTCCCTCAGCTTCTCTAGGCCTCTCTGGTATCTTCTTCAAACAGAGTGTGTGCTAGTTTAGTAATTTCCCCACACACACTAACAAACCCTTCATGAAGTTTGGATTTCAGCCCATCAACATCATATAACAGCATTCAGTTTTTTGTAGGAATAGATAAACTGAATATTTCATTTTTTAAAACTTTGTAAAAATTTTATAAATTTATATAAAATATAAATTATTTAATATTCCAGTTGACTTTATCATTTCTATTATCTTTATTATAATAAATGTATGTTGTAAAACTAGAAAAAATTATAAAATTTAAAAATTGGTAATTTTTTCTTAACTTTCATCCTCTCGATATTTCTTTTGTTACATAAAATCCAAATCTCCAGGAATTACTGAGCTTAAATAACCTTAATGTGTCTTCCATTTTTAAGAGTCTATGAAATTCAGCTGTTACTCATAAATTTTATGTCAGTATTTTCCTTAACTGGATGCTTTTATTATTGCTATACTAAGAATATAAAGAGACATTTCTGAAATGAATTTTCCTAATTGTTTTCCAGGGCAATTATATTAAATGTATTCAACTTGACAAACATTTGATAAATTAAAACAATGCAACTTTTAGTTATTCTTTCAATCAATAATTAACTGGCTGTTAATCATTAAAAATTAGACTTTTTCCTGTGATTTTGCTAACTAATCCATACTTAGCTAGAAAAGTAAGTAACCTAAATTCCAAACCTCTATCACTTCCAGCTTATATCAATTTTCCTGCAAATGTATCAATCTGATAATCATCTGTCCATATTAGCTATATAATATATAAAGGGAAGTCATTTTACTCCTGGATTATAGAAGGAAACACACACACATGACCCTCTTTATTATTCCTTAAGAATATCCTTTCAAGAATTCCTCTGTAAATTAAATGCAGCACAAGCTTATACAATCTTCAACACAATTATTTAGAACACCTAATAGTATACTGAAAGTTTGATATTCAGTAACTCTAGATATTCTGTGAATGCAAGAAAAATTATGACTGAAAACTGTATTTGTGAAAACAATAAATTAAATATGAAGAATCAGTGTCAATTGTTTTCATCAATAGAAAACCATGTGAAAATAAAGGGTAAAAGGATTTATTGGTCTCTCTAATTTGAGAAAACTGTATACTTATCAGTCTACAGATTAACTTAAAGTGACATTCATAAAGTAATTCTTATTAATTAAAGTCAATAATTATTTAGCTGTTTGTTATGTCATACCTCTTGATTCATTAATTAATATATTTATATATTTAATTAATATATTAATTATTCATTAATTATAAAATTCAAAGTATGAGGCAATCATGTACATTGACATCTTCTTAATAAAATTATAACAGGAAAAAATTCAACCTCAATATTAAATATAGTATCAACATTTGATGGATGTTTTGTTATTAAAAGTATTAAAAGTGTGGATACTTAAATTACATGTCCACTACTCGAGCTGATATAAAGTTATAAACAGATACGGTAAATGATAGTGTAAACATGGGAAAATTTTAAGTAGTTTTCTACTTTCTTTCTTCTCTGAACTTTATGTGTGATATTGCTTTTTTATAAATTTTAACATATATGTTAAATATGACTTTGCTTAGCTTGAGTGAGGGAATATATTTAAGGTTTCATGAATGTTTACAATTAGTTGTATCTGAAGCTGAAATGAGAAAATTACTTCAAGCATGACACAGAAATATGGCATAAAAGAATGGGTATTCATGGGCTTCATTCAAATATTTAGCTCAAAGGCATCATTTGCAGTTACTTCAACCAACTTAAGTTCTTACTCTGAATGTATGATGTATGTGACAAGCAATATATTGCTCCAAGTGTGATACTCAGCTTTTAAGTGAGTGAGGTCAAAGGCGAGTTTTAAAGGTCATCTCATTACAAGAGGGCCATTTTTCTCAAATAAAAGTGATAATTATCATCACATTCTGAAAACAAGAATAATATACTACCAAATTGTTTGACGCTGAACTTCTCTACAATTTTAGATACAATGATGTCAAAACTAACCGCATCCAATAGCGATGATGCATCAGAATAAAATCAAGCATTCAAAGTCTTGAAAAGACACAAAAGGACCTAGGAGTCTCACTGGCTTCAACCAATTATTCAAGAAGAAGGGTGGTGGCAGGAAAGTTCAACAAGACAAAAAACAAGAGATAGTTATTCATTATCACAGAAAATGTCATTTTTAAACTGTTCTTCCATAGGTAGGTAAACAGATTATAGACAACATATAGGTTTAATATTATAGAAAGTATAAGTAATGATCACAGAATAAAACATTTAAAGATATAATGTGGCACCTTTACTTAGTGGAGGTTTAGCCTTATGATTATAAAATAAACTGAGAGTATGTCAATGAAAAATAAAAATAATAAGAAAGGAAGGAGGAAGGAGGATGGGAGCATAGGTGGGAAGTATCACAATGTTCTTAAATCTGTATATATAAAATACAAGAAATTTGTTCAACTTATATAAATAAAAATTATTTTAAAAATTATGTGGCATTTATCTGCCTCATATCAATGGGTCTTACTTAAATCCCAGTTGTCGGCAAACCACGTATGTATTCAGCTCAGTCCAGCCATCATCACATACAGTCCCCCACTGTGCCCTGTAATACACTTCCAAACGGCCCTCATGGCTACTTTTCCCGCCTGCAAGTCTTATGACCCCATCTGTAATAAGAAGGAGATGCAGAGACTAAGCAGATTCACTCCCAAGAAAGGCAAAACAACATTTTAATTTCATCACAAATATCATATATACTCAGGCTTCCCTCTAGGCATTCCATTAAACTCGCATTACAGGAGTGCTCAATGAACTGACATCACTACATTGTATGACATAATACGTATCTGTCCTAATAAAATATTCTTTTCTTTTTATTTGTACTCCTATTACTTGGGTAGAAAAAACATATTCTGATATAATTACAAATATAAGCATGTTACTCTGCTGGTAAAAGCAGCAGCCCATACAGAAGTATGTCAATACAAATTTAGTATTTCATAGGTCCTAAGAAGTTATTCTTTTGATTTTTGTTAAAGAAAAATTTAAACAGAAATTTTTTTCTACGTTCTTTTTAGCATAGGAACAATGTATTTGGGATGCCCATCTACTTCCTTCTACCTCCAAACAATTAAGTAAATGTACACTCAGACATGCCCTTCTTATAACACATGACATCTTGACAAGTATGCTGCAATATGGAATACTATGGAAATTGAGCATAACAAAGGTAACTTTGTTTCTTTAATAGTGTTCTTTAATTAACAATTGCATCAATACCGTTTTACCAGGTATGAACAAATTCTGACACTCAAGCCTGTTGAATGTATGAATGGATTAAAGACATAATTATAAAACCCAATATCTGAAATTTACTATTGCATGTAGATTTTGATTATTAGGTACTATATACATCAATAGCATATTTTCTGATTTATACTTACAGAATTTTATAGTTTGAAATTTAAAAACTTAGAAATATCTATAAATAAGGAGATAATATTTTAATAACTGTGTTAGATTGTTTTAGTTTTATTTGGAGGACTTAGTTGTATGGTCTTTGGGTAATATTGTCCAAATTGAGGACATAGAAATATGTGGTTAGTACAAATGATGCTTGGACAGGTATTACTATATTAATGAGATAAAATCCTTACCTGTCAAAGGGGTACAGGACACTCCAGCATCTTCTTTATGGCCACAGTTATGTTCTCCCCAGGAACTCTTTGGACATTGCTCAATTGAAAGCTCATTCCCAGTGCAACGTACTTCATCTAACATTATTGGGCCAGATCCTTCCCCAAAATATGCCTGATTCCAGGCTTTAGCGATGCCACTGAAAACATAAGAATGTAAGGATTCTGGATCAGACAGCAGAAATTGGTTGGACTTACTCAATTTGTCCTGGTCAAAGCATACTTTTTAATCTCCATTTAACAGTTTACTCCCCAGATCAACAGGACTTTCTTTTTTTATTTTTTAAACTTTTATTTAATAAACACAAATTTCCAAAGTACAGCTTTTGGAACACTGTGGCTTTTTCCCCTCCATAACTTCCCTCCAACCACAACCCTCCCCTCTCCCGCTCCCTCTCCCCTTCCATTCACCTCAAGATTCATTTTCAATTATCTTTATATACAAAAGATCAATTTAGTATAATTAAGTAAAGATTTCAACAGTTTGCACCCCCATAGAAACACAAAATGAAATATATTGTTTGAGTACTCGTTATAGCATTAATTCACATTGGACAACACATTAAGGACAGAGATCCTACAGGGGGAGTAAGTACACAGTGACTCCTGTTGTTGACTTAACAATTGACACTCTTGTTTATGGCATCAGTAATCACCCTAGGCTCTTGTCATGAGTTGCCAAGGCTATGGAAGCCTTTTGAGTTCACCAACTCTGATCTCATTTAGACAAGGTCATAGTCAAAGTGGAAGTTCTCTCCTCCCTTCAGAGAAAGGCACCTCCTTCTTTGATGGCCCTTCTTTCCACTGGAATCTCACTCACAGAGATCTTTCATTTACTCTCATGGGCTCTTCAGCCAGATCCAAATGCCTTAAGGGCTGATTCTGAGGCCAGAGTGCTGTTTAGGACATCTGCCATTCTGTGAGTCTGCTGTGTATCCTGCTTTCCATGTTGGATCATTTTTTTCCTTTTTAATTATATCAGTATTAGCAGACACTAGTCTTGTTTATGTGATCCCTTTGATTCTTAGTCCTATCATTATGATTAACTTTGAACTGAAACTGATCACTTTGACTAGTGAGATGGCATTGGTACATGCCACCTTGACAGGATTGAATTGGAATCTCCTGGCACGTTTCTAACTCTACCGTTTAGGGCAACTCTGGTTGAGCATGTGTTGAACTGTACATCTCCTTCCTCTCTTATTCCCACTCTTATAGTTAACAGGGATCACGCTTCAGTTAAATTTAAACACCTAAGAATAACTGTGTGTTAATTAAAGAGTTCAACCAATAGTATTAAGTGAACAAAAAAAAAATACTACAAGGGATAAAGTATTAAGTTGTTCATCAACAGTCAGGACAAGGGGCTGATCAAGTCACTGTTTCTCATTTCACTTCAACAGGCTTCCTTTTTGGTGCTCGGTTAGTTATCACCGATCAGGGAGAACACATGATATTTGTCCCTTTGGGACTGGTTTATTTCACTCAGCATGATGTTTTCCAGATTCCTCCATTTTGTTGCAAATGACCAGATTTCATTTTTTTTTTTTTACTGCTGCATAGTATTCTATAGAGTACATATCCAGTGCCACGGCTCACTTGCTAATCCTCCGCCTGTGGCGCTGGCATCCCATATTCCAGTCCCGGTTGGGGCGCCGGATTCTATCCCAGTTGTTCCTCTTCCAGTCCAGCTCTCTGCTCTGGCCCAGGAAGGCAGTGGAGGATGGCCCAAGTGCTTAGGGCCTGCACTTGCATGGGAGACCAGGAAGAAGCACCTGGCTCCTGCTTCAGATTGGCACAGTGTGCCAGCAGTAGCAGCTATTTGAGGGGTGAACCAATGGAAGGAAGACCTTTCTCTCTGTCTCTCTCTCTGTCTCTCTAACTCTGCCTGTCAAAAAAACAAACAAACAAACAAACATGACTTTCCATATTTGTTTTGTCTGTTACCATTCTTCATATCTCCTGCCACTGCACATGTTTCAAAGACTGCTATGTATTTTCCATTACTGACCCTCCTTTCCTTCATTAGTACTGGAGCTCATATTTCTAGGAGAGCAAAAGTATTCCAATTACAGACCATATTTGCCATCTTCCCCTGCTTCTATATTACTAAAGTAGTTAATTAATTAGGTAGTTTGTTTTTGATAAAATAGACATAAGAGTAACATTTTAACTATTTTTAAGTGTATACTGCATTAAGTACATTCACACTGTTATAAAACTATCACCACCATCCATCACCAAAACTTTTTCATCATCCCAAAATGAAACTCTGGCCACTTTAAATGACTAAGTTATCACCAATGATATTTAGGTAGAAGCATCATGTATAACTTCTAGAAAGTGCCCTTGTTCCATTCCCTCCTATCTGTTGTCTGCAAGGCAGAGGTGGTAACTGGAGCCTAAGAAACTATCTTGGGTCAGAAGGTGCCATATTAAGAATGACAGAACTGGGGACACTATGGCATAGCAGGTTAAGCATCCACCTACAGCGTCCTGGCTACTCTACTGCCAATCTGGCTCCCTGCTAATGCACCTGGGAAGGCAGTAGAAGATGTCCCAAGTGCTTGGGCCCCTGCAGTTGCACGGGAAACCCAGAAGAAGCTCCTAGCTCCTGGCTTCAGATCTGCCCAGCTCCAGCCGTTGCCACTGTTTGTGGAGCAAACCAGCGGATGGAAGACCTCTCTGTCTCTCCTTCTCTCTCTCTATGTAACTCTACCTCTCAAATAAATAAATAAAATATTTAAAAATAAATAAATAAAATTTGATATGGAACTCTCCCATTACTGCAAATATATACAAAAAACATAATAATAATTTTTAAAAAATGACAGAACTACAAACAAGAAATAGATGAGAGTCCTGATGATGTTGAAACATCATGGTGGCCTTGAGTTGGGTATCTCTTTTATTAAGAAACAAACACAAGTTTCAATTTGTTTAAGCTGATGGTATAGTGGAAAAATATAGTTTCCCAAGGGAATATACGATAAAGCATTACTATAACACCCACAATAAAGTAAACAAGAAAAAATATTTAACATTCAGAAAATTAAATTCAAGAGTCATATAAAAGTTACAAGTAATCCCAGAATTTGAGGGGTAAGGTAGTTGGGTAATTGAAATCTGTTGTTTGAAATATGTTCATATATCCAGTATTATCAGTTCAAAGAAGGAAACTTCTCAGAGTTGTGTGCCTGAGCCCTCTTCTCACTTTTACAAGAGGACCTAGGAAGGGAGAGAAGTCCTTGCTTGTAACTCTAAAGCTAATGTCAGCCACTATAACCCATGGGCCAAATCCATGGGCCACCACCTGTTTTAAAATGGCTTGTGAGCTTAGAATGATTTTTTACATTTTGTAAATTGTTGAGAAAAAAATAAAACACAAACATAATTTGGAACAAGTGAAAATCAAATTCAGTTCAAATTTCACTGTCCAGAAATAAAGTTTTATTGGAACAAGGCTACACTAATTCTCAAGTTATTGTCTGTGGCTGCTTTTATGCCGAAATGGCAGAGTAAAGTAGCTGAAGAGTCTAAAATATTTACTTCCTGGTCCTTTACAGAATAAGTTTGCATACCCCTGCTCCAGAGGAAAGATATTAATGAAAGCAAATATAGAAACTTAGTGAACACTGAGAGTCAGAGAACAAAACAGAACTAGAGAAGAGATGACTAGTGAACATCCTAGGGAATCCGGAAAGGAAAGCTGTAGAGAAAGGCAGATTAAAAGCCTCCCTGGATCTCTGCCCTGAGATGAGTGACAGAAAAAAGAAAACTAAGCAAAAAAGAGAAATATCTATTAAGGAAATTTTCAATGAGTACAATTGGAAACCTGGGACCAATGCGAGAGAACCAACAACAGAAACAAAAATGAAATCCAGATGATCTAAAGAACTAAATATCACACCCCCCCCCACACACACACACAGAGGAAGAAGAGGAGAAGAAGGAAAGAACACTGAAAACTCACCGAACTAAAATAATAGGAACATATTCTTTTAATCTTGGATGCAAGAGAGGATTTCCTGAGCAAGTAAGAAAACTCAGATGTCAGAAAAGAAAAGTTTAATTCAACTACATACAATTGTAAACCACTGTTTGGGAAACTACACCATAAGCAGAGACAAAACACAAACTGAAGGTCTGGAAGAAATATTTGCAATTGTAACAGCAATCACCAAAGAATTTGCTGGAGATTAATAACAAGGTATCATTATAATGGTTTTTTTTGACAGGCAGAGTTAGACAGTGAGAGAGAGAGAGAGAGAGACAGAGAGAAAGGTCTTCCTTCTGTTGGTTCACCACCCCTCAAATGGCCGCTACGGCTGGCACTGCACCGATCCGAAGCCAGGACCCAGGTGATTCCTCCTGGTCTCCCATGCAGGTGCGGGGCCCAAACACTTGGGCCATCCTCCACTGCCTTCCCGGGCCACAGCAGAGAGCTGGACTGGAAGAGGAGCAACCGGGACAGAATCCGGTGCCCCAACAGGGACTAGAACCTGGGGTGCCGGCACCGCAGGCAGAGGATTAGCCTAGTGAGCCGTGGAGCTGGCCTCATTATTTTGTTTTAATGGAAGGCAAAACAGCCAACTTCAAAAAAAAAAAATGCAATAGAGAGGATTAGGCTATTCATACAAGTAATATACATAACCAATGACCATGTATGTTTGATCTCCCTAGTGATCCAATTAAAATAATAATAAAGTATTCCTACACATCATACTTTTTGGAGATTTAAAAATTTCTATCACTTTCAATATTATACAGGCTAAAACCTAACAAAGGCTTTTATTCCCAAGCAAAAATAACAAGCAGACCCTAAAAGCATCCATTGGCTGGGAGCAATTACAGATAGGGTGGGGCAGAGTAAATGAAATGCACTGTGCTTCAAACATGCTCATGCTTATGTCATACAAGTCTTAAGAATAAGTAAAAATCTTTGTTAAATGCCTCAGAATTATGTCCCTTCCTTGATGAAGAACAGGACGGGAGAGGGGCAGCCCTGATCAGTGACTGGGGGATGCTAATCTATGTTAAAATCCATTCTTAAAACATGACTTGAGTATTTTATTTTCTTTCTTACACATTTCTGTATTTTCTAGTGTTTATAGATATATTTTATTGACTATAAAGGTAT